GCTCTGAAAGAGCACAGAATGTCATGATTTCAGCTCTCTGCCTCCTCTGTTCTTTGCCACCTGCAAGATCTCTTGGCCACGCCCACTTTTCCACTCTTCATGCTGAACAACTGATCAGCTGTTCAGCTGCAGCATGACGTGTATCTTGCAGCTCTGGGCCGCCCAAATGTGCAGCAGGTGCTAAATAATTCAAAGTAAATTATTTTAAATAAAAAGTCCATGCCAATCCTGCAGCTCTTCCATCAATCACCCATTTGTGTGTCATGTCCTACCTTAATTTGAAAAACCACGATAGAGCGAGTCTGCAACAAACGAACCGTGAAACAGCAAGGGAATACTATATATATATATATATATATATATATATATATATATATATATATATTTCTAGTTTTTATATTACTTAAAAGTATAGTTTCCTCAAATGATTGGGGTGGCCAATGCAGTGGATGAATATTAATCTTAGTGGCCAAAGCCACTATTTGCCACACTCTGGCTCTGCCTTTGCACCTGGTAGTACAGGTATTGCTCCCTTCGCTCGCCAGGATCCATCACTCTACACCACCTTGGACAAGAAACAAATAAACTACCTCTGTTCAATTCCTCCCTACTTGAATATTTTGCATCACAAACATTAAGGTTTACTTGCATTCCTTGTTCAGTTCCAGACCAGTAAAACACTCATGTAAAAAAACATTCATTAGTCAAATCCTTCAACAATGGGTGGCATCACTTGTTTACATACAGACAACTTCTTATATTTTCCTGTCATCCTGCAAACTTCACAGTAACATGTTTTACTTCAGTGTCAGTCAGTCAGAGTCAGAGTCAGAGTTTCTTTATTGTCATTCGCACCTCATGTGGTACATGTGGTGGAGCGAAATTATGTACACAGGGTCCCAGCTACATCCAACAATAAAATGTGTCACCATACAAGGTGAGAATCACTAAGGTCTTTTAAGAAATAGATTATTGCATGAGAGAAGATAGCATGAGACACGGGATGTGCAGCACGAGATGAAAGGGATAATCATTTCCTGTCATCCGATCTAAAAATAGCAGTTAAATCTCTGCTCATCTACTGCAAATTGCAAAACAATGCAAGTGTTTTGCCTCATAGACTTAAACACGTTCAAAAGTTAAATTTTAAAACCAAAAAAGAGATTTTAATAAAACTAATATAGACATATGTTTCTTTTTGTTTTGGGGTTTGATTTACACTTTTTCAACACAACTTTTGGTGACGACTGAACTGTTGTGTGTCAGCTGATGGAGTTTTTTTGGCAGTCAGTGAGAAACTGAACCCACTTTTGTGCAAGCTGCTGCT